GGAGGCGGCCGGTAACGGCGCGGTGAGGTCTCCGCCCTTGGCCTCTCGCCGGTTGCGTAAGGCCCGGCGCTCACCTCCGCGGTGCCCCCGCACCCCCCGCTTCCTGGTCTGTTTCAGACGCCGGCTTCGAGTTCGACATCTGCTTCACGTCGGTGCAGAAGCGGGCCATCCGCACCCTCTGGACCGTCCTGGATGCCATCGACCAGATGTGGTTACCCGTGATCCGGACCTGGCGCCTGAACGAGAGGCACTACGGGGCTCTCACCGGCCTGAACAAGGCCGAGACGGCGGCGAAGCACGGCGAGGCACAGGTGAAGATCTGGAGGCGCTCGTATGACATCCCCCCGCCTCCCATGCAGTCCGATCACCCCTTCTACAGCACCATCAGCAAGGTAAGACACGCTGCTCTTCGTTTGCCTCGCTGTGAGGCTCCTCGGGTCCCTGTAGCCTGGGCTGGTTTCCCCCACAAGGTCTCCTCTGCCTCTGTTGCAGCAGCCAGGGCTGTTGTCCATGCATTGGTGTTGGGCTGAGTTTTTCCCACTCGGTCCCTGGGGGAGCTGAACCCCTGGACATTGCGTGGACAGACTGAAAGCAGAGGGGAATGATACCTCTGTTAATCATTAGTCCTATGACCCGTGCATGGATGTTTGATCTGGTTCTTCACCCAGAGCAAGCAATGTGGGCCTTTACTCAGCAAGGGCTCACAGCCTTGACCATAACTGAGCGCAGCCTCAGAGCTCAAAGGCACTTCCTTGCTTCCAAGCCCAGCTTTGCCTACGTGTAGCAGGTCCCTAAGCAGAGAATTTGGGGGCTGGGGGAATGAAGGCCTTGCTGCTGCCACCACCCTGCAGTGCCTTGGGCTGCAGTCTGAGCCTGGTCACTCTCCCAGGACCGTCGCTATGCTGATCTGACAGAGGACCAGCTGCCGACATGCGAGAGCCTGAAGGACACCATCGCCCGGGCCCTGCCTTTCTGGAATGAGGAAATCGTCCCACAGATCAAAGAAGGCAAACGAGTCCTTATTGCTGCCCATGGCAATAGCCTGCGTGGGATTGTCAAGCATCTGGAAGGTATGTCAGCCCAGCATGGGTTTTGTGGGGGTCTCCCCACTGCCCCAGCTGGCCATGTGTGCGTGGGGCCACAAGCAATGGTGCTTCTGTGTCTGCAGGCATGTCAGAAGAGGCCATCATGGAGCTGAACCTGCCCACCGGCATCCCTATTGTGTATGAGCTGGACAAGAACCTGAAGCCCGTCAAGCCCATGCAGTTCCTGGGCGATGAGGAGACGGTGCGCAAGGCCATGGAGGCTGTCGCTGCTCAGGGCAAGGTCAAGAAGTGAGGGTGGGCAACAGGCTAGCACGTAGTAGAGCCCCCCACTGTCCCCCACCCCTCTGTTGCACACCTCCCACAGCTGTAGGAACCTGGAGCTGCGCAGCTGGAGCAGCTCTCCAGGATTAGGCCCATTCCCTTGGGACCAGGCTCCCCTCTGCAGACAGCCTGGGCACGAGGGGCTGTGCACACAGTCTGGTGTGAAGGGAGCCCTGGCAGCACTCGCACACCTTTCCACACCAAGATCCCAGCCCTGGGGCCCTGTCTGCAGGGGGATGTGCTGAATGATCCCTCACTGTGCCAGGCTCCTCCTCTGCTTTGCTTCCCCAGCAATTCTTGTCACCTGGTTACTGTAGTTTTGTTGCTTGATTTAATCATCTCAGGAGCAGTGGGGTGAGCACAGTGCAGGCAGTGACCAAGATGAGTACCCTGTCCCCATATGGGTGCATGGCACAAGGACTGTGGTGCATAGATGCTGAAAGGGTTGTATTTTGGTGGTACTAAGGGTGGTACTTGTGACTCTGGACTTGGCTCTGCCAGCTCCTGCTTTAACTTATTGCCTTGGGAGAAGGTGAGGGAGAGAGAGCGGGAGCCTGTTGTCTGGAAGTCCATGTCCACCACACCCTTCCCCCAGCTGAAGCTCATCCCAGTCCTGCTGCTGAAGCAGGTGCTGTTGTGCCCCATCCCAAGTGGCCCTGTCACTGTGGCCTCCCCCTCTGCCAGCGTCGTGAGCCTGGGCTTGCAGGGGGTCTGTGTAACTGTCTGACCATAGCAGCTGTGTCTTGTTCCAGTTCAATAAAGGAGTCATGCGCAATAACGAGGTGTGGGTACTCTCCTCTGCCACCTCTTGCAGGTTCCTGCGGTGTGCCTGTGAGGCAGCACCAAAGTTCTGGGCTTGGGGAGCAAAGCACAGCTCTGCAATCCCTGCGGAGAGGGTGACGCCCTGTTACTCGTGGTTTTAAGACACACCCTTGTCCTGGGGCAGGCAACATGTACGCCTGGAGGAGATGCGGTGCCCCAGGGCTGAGCCTTAGCCTGTACTGGTTATCAGCAGGGCAGGGAGACCAAGCTGCTCTCTGCTGGAAACCACCCTGGTGAGGGTTGGTATCTGGAGCCAGCACCACCCAGCTACAAACCAGAGCTCTGCTGTTTGCCTCACAGAGGCACTGGGTTGCTCCCCTCCCCAGCCATGGGCAGGGAACACATCCTTCCTCCCAGTTGCCATGCTGGGGAAGCTGGCCTCTCAACAGTGGGCTGCAGGCAGCCCTGGCCTCCCCATAACTGAGCAGATCACAGAGCTCTCAAAAAAATATTTAATATCCAAAACCAGAAAACCCATCCTGTGAGCAAGGGCCCATCCAGCTGTTCCAGCCTCCTGAAGATGCAGAAGAGGCCTGAGTTCCCAGCCCTGCAGGGTCTGTGCTAGGTCTGCAGGAACTGGGGCTGCACACGGGCCACCTTTCGGAAGTCCTTGGTGTGTGTCCGCGGGCACTGCATCTCGCACCAGCTGATGGGCACCATCTGCACTCCTAGGGACACCATCTGTCAGGGCTTCTTCCCAAAATAGTTCCTCCGTGTGGAAAGGGAGGAGGAACAGCTGCCCCTCCAGCAGCGATGAGGAAGGCCTGACAGAGCCTGTCCCTACCTGCCTCGCTGCGTGCCACCACTACGCCCAGCTCGTTCTCTGCTGTGCTCAGCAGGTAGTTGGACTGCGCATCCCCCAGCGAGATCTGGTCAGGTGGAGGTTAAGGGAAAGGCCTCCCTGAGTGGACTGAGCAAAGCTGCTGTGTCAGGTGGGTAAAGGATACGACTTTGGCCAGGACTATGTCACCAGGGCGGAAACTCTTGTACACTTCTACCTGCACAGGAGAGAGCCGGCAAAACCACACAGTATGTTGGGGTGCTGGTCAGCAGCAAGATAAATGCCCCCCCACCAGCAGAAGGAAGGAGTGGGGCAGCTGTGGTAGCAGAGTCACCAGCAGAGCCTCACTGACCTTATCTTTCTCTGTGGCTCGAATATCTTCTCTCCTGAAAAAGGAGATGAGGAATCTTAGCACCAGTAAGCAAAGATGACCCTCTGTCCTGCAGCAGGAGCTGCCTCAGCCTCCCTGGGTGCTGGCCAGGACACGCTGGACACCTGCCCAGTGCTCCTGGCAGGGCAGCTGGCAACGCTGCCCAGAAGAAGCTTCCTCTCCCCCTGATGATGGGGTGCTTGGCACCCTACCCCATGAAGAACACAACTCTCTCCCTACCTTATCGTCCCCCGAAATGCGGACTTCAGCGGCGTGGAGCCAACATACAGGATGTGCACCTTGGCAAAGCGGGAGTTGATGCTGCAAACCTGTCCAAGGAAAAGAGGAGTCAGGCAGGGAAAGGGCAGAGTGCAGGCAGGACAGGGTTTTTCTATCTCATTTGGCCCCCTCCCTGTGACCAAAGCTGTGGGACAGCTGGCAGTGAGCAACATGATCCTTGTGCAACTCAAGACACAGGAATAAGGCCGAGACCTGCGGTGACCCCAGTCTCTCTCCCACCATCAGGACCATGAGGAAACTAATCCCTGCTCCAGGCCACCCTTCCTCCAAGCTGTTACAGGCACTGCCCTCCACACAGGGGGACCAGAAAGAGCTGTGGAAGGCAGAGCAAAGAAAAATTTCCCCTCAGCCTACCTAAGCCTCCGGGTAGGGAGAGCTGACAGGCAGGTGACTGCCGTGCCAATATCTGGCTTCTCCGTGGGTGAGGGACCCCAGGGAGCCACTGGGCTGCCTCTGCCCTGCTGGAAGCTGTATGGAGTGTACTAACTAGCCCGGGGTCTCCTCAGCCCACCCCGTACATGCAGAAGAGGAAATACCAGCCTGGTGGAAGTGCTGAGGTCTGCCATCGCAGGGCCCTACCTTGCATGTCACCACGGCCCCCACATCGGGCAGGAGCTGGGACTCGGCATCTCTCACCACCGACACGACGGGCAGCTGTGGGGCAGCACACGGGAGGGTTGGTCTGGGCACGGCCCACACGCAGGGTCACGCAGGACCGGGCTGGCCCTTCCAATTTGGGAAGGGACCGTGAAGCCTCAG